CACCGAGAGTTTTTATCTTTTTGATAACAGCTATTCTAAAGGATTTGAGGTAATACTGGAGCTTTTGAAGTACATTCTATAATGATTAAAGGTGTTGAACACCTTTCTCTGGCTTTTTTTTTTTTTTTGAGACAGTTTCACTTTGTCACCCTTGGTAGAGTGCTGTGGCATCACAGCTCACAGCAACCTCAAAGTTTTGGGTCTAAGTGATTCTCTTGCCTCAGCCTCCCAAGTAGTGGGGACTACAGGCACCTGCCACAATACCCAGCTATTTTTATTTTTTGGTTGTAGTTGTCGTTGTTTGGCAGGCCTGGGCTGGATTTAAACTACCAGCTCCCGTGTATATGACTGGCGCCCCAGCTGCTGAGCTACAGGCAATGAGCCTGTTTTTATTTTTTTATTTTTTTTGAGACAAAGTCTTACTATGTCGCCCTTATTAGAGTGCTACAGCGTCACAGCTCATAGCAACCTCAAATTCTTGGGCTTAAGTGATTCTCTTGACTCAGCCTCCCAAGTAGCTGGGACTACAGGCGCCCGCCACAACGCTGGGCTAATTTTTGGTTGTAGTTGTCATTGTTGTGTGGCAGGCCTGGGCCAGGTTTGAACCTGCCAGCCCCAGTATACGTGCCTGTGCTCTAGCTGCTGAGCTGCAGGCACCAAGCCAGAGAATCACGTATGTTATGAACGTGGAATGTGGTCAGAGCTGAGCTGAGAAACTTGAGAAAAATACATGGGTATGCATGTTCATGCATGTGTATACATGTGTGCATATACACATGCCAGGGAGTAGCAACCAAAGTAGGGGGAAATTTGCAAAGAGAAGGTGGGTGTGGTTCAATATAGGAGAAGCCAGATTCCTGTCTGTAGGCAAGAATGTGGTGTGGTATGGCCAGAAACATGTGTGAATAGTCTGCTGTGGCTCTAAGACCAGGGGCCTCACCCTGGCCCCTGCTGGCCCAAAATCTAAGCTGAGAATGGAGGGTGCTTGGGCTATACTGGGCTCCAGGGCCAGCCTAGATGACACACCCATCTCAACATATGCAGCCCCTGCCTTGAGGCTTCCCTGGACCCCAGAATTGGATAGGGATTGGGCTCTCTAAACATGCTACTGACTGCGGTACCATGAGAGGCCAGAGCCCAGGGTGGAAGCTGAGAGACATACCCTTCAGGGGGCCCAGCCAACATAGAGGTGAGCAGAACACACAGACCAGCCCTTATTATCTACCATGAAAGGAGTGCAAAGGAAAAGAACAGGTGTAGGACAGAGACAAGTATATACAGCCTAAGGCCTCTTAGCCAGATGCTCCGAGAACTGAGGCTGTCCAAAGAGTTTGGGTCTCATGTTGAGCACAGTTGGTCCCTTTTGGGGCTTCAAGCACAGAGAGACATGGTGAATGTATTTTTTTTGAGACAGAGCCTCAAGCTGTCCCCCTGGGTAGAGTGTGTGGCATCACAGCTCACATCAACCTCTAACTCCTGGGCTCAAGCGAGTCTACTGCCTCAGCCTCCCAAGTAGCTGGGACCACAGGCGCCTGCCACAACGCCCGGATATTTTTTGGTTGCAGCTGTCATTGTTGTTTGGTGGGCTTGGGCTGGATTCGAACCCGCCACCTTAGGTGTATGTGGCTGGCACCTTGGCCACTTGAGCCACAGGTGCCAAGCCGAACACATGTTTTTCAAAAGATCTCTTGGCCTTCTGTACAAAAGTGGCTTGGCACCGGCACCACTGGTGAAGTCTGTGGAGGGAGACTTCCATTGTTCTGAAGTCTCTGAAGGGAGGCATATGTCAGTGTGGTAGTGACAGATGTCAGGTTAGTTGGTGGTAGTGGTTACCTAATTCTGCTACATCATCTCAGGGCTGGGGACAAGTGCTTGGGAAGAATCAGCATTGTTCTCCTGTTCTGTGGTTTCTGGGGTATAGAAGGCCTCTGTCTGTTCCCCTGCCCCTGATGTCACTGGAAGACTTTGGGACAAGGCAGAATTGCCCTGAGGGTCTCACCTTGTGCTCCAGCAGACCTGGGGGACCATGAAGCCCAATCAGGGATGTAGTTCCCCTGGGGGCTGCAGGCCTTGCTGTGTGTGTAGCCTGTGCTGAGTCTCCAAGGCGGTGAATAGGATGGGCCCTGTGCAGTGGGAAGCAGAGGGTTCCGGTAGTGAAACTGCACATGGGTTTGGGGAGCTGGAGCTCAAGCCAGAGGTCAGAAGAGATGTTGACAGGAAGTAATATTGCTTCAGATTGGAGGAGTGTCCTGAGCAAAGGCCCTGTGGCATGAAAGCATGAGCTAGACGGTTCAGGAAGGGTTTGAGGCCTGGAGAGATGCACCGACAATCTTGGGAGAGACATGGTCAGATGAATATTTGTATAGACCTGCCAGATGGGAGTGAGACCGGGGCAAGGATGGAGCTGTGTGACAAATCTGTTTGGGGAGAGGGAGGGACAGCTGGACATGCTTTGGTGGTGGTGGCCTATCACAGGCTGCTTTAGGCCATCTGGAGGGGCTGAGGTGTGAAGCGGAGTTAAAGGGCCCCAGACAGACTACAGAGATGGCCCTCTACCCTCCAACACTACCAGGCCTGGCTAGGCCAGGGCCACCTCCTTCCTATAGCTGGTTGTTTCCTCACCCTGGGCCTCTGCAAACTGAAGCCCAATTAGAGGCTAGGGAAGCCCTCATGTTTCCTTCCTGGTGACTGGCAAGGCCCTCCCAAATCCCAGCTCCTGCATTGGCCTTCATTCAGGAAGGGCCTTTTACCCATGACCCCTTGCCTGCTTGCTTGTCCTAGAGAAAGCTGCCATGAGAATCATAAGGCAGGAGAGCCATTTCTTACCTAGTACCCAGGCAGTGCTTAGATTTGTTACCGTGAATATGTTTTTCTCTTGGAATTATTTAAACAAATCAAAACTTCATGTCAGGCCAGATATGGCTTATACCTGTAATCGTAGCACTCTTAGAAGCCAAGGCAGGAGGATTCTTCAAGATCAGGAATTCGAGACCAGCCTAATCACGAGCAAGACATCGTCTCTACTAAAATACAAAAAATTAGCTGGGTAATATGGCAGGTGCCTGTAGTCCCAGCTACTTGGGAGACTGAGGCAAGAAGATCGCTTGAGCCCAGGAGTTTGAGGTTGCTGTGAGCTAGGCTGAGGGCATGGCACTCTAGTCTAGGCAACAGAGTGAGACTGTTGTGAGACTTGAGAGGGCCTTGCAGTCACCAGGAGATAAGAGGGCTTCCCTGGCCTGTAATTGGGTTTCAGTTTGCAGAGACCAGGGGTGAAGAGACAACCACCTTAAAAACAACCACCAAAAAACTTCATGTCAGAAAACAAGGGCTAGCTGACTACCTCTGCTGAATATTTAAGGGTAAAAGAGATTTCTTTTTCTGTAGTAAAAGGAGAGTAAGTGTGGATCAGCCCTGTGTGTGTATACATAGTAAAAGGAAAGAAAATAGGTACAGATGAGCTGTGTGTGTATGTGTCTATGTATATGTGTGTGTGTGTATACGTGTGCTCCAGATCTCGTTAAAAGTTTTTAATAATTCCCTGGGCCAGGGGGTAAATGATTTTGATGGATCCCAGGACTGCCCAAAGTACTCCGTAATGAGATAACCACCCTGACGTAACAGGATTACGCCCTGGACAGACCCGGGTGAGCCGGCACTGACTTCATCATGTTGTCATTTCATGTGGGAAATTACGCCCATTCATTATGACTAACTCTTCCAGGAAGCAGTTTGAAAAGCAATTGTATTAGGGTACCCTACAGTGCTGTGAAGAGGGTACCTGTGCAGGCCTGGGTGGGGGTGCATGCAAGGCCTACTTGACAGCCCGGCCATGTAGCTTATCCCAGACTTAATGACTATGGTCAGAACATCGAAGGATACGTAAAACCAAGCTTGGCTCCTTGTGGCCTTTCTGAAAATGCAGTAGTTTGTGTAGGTCCTGGGCCCCTCTTCTGGGCCCTCAGGCCCTGTGTAGCACAGAGCACCTGACTCACAAGGCCCTTCTGCTTCTAGGAGGGCGTGTGAAGACCTGGAAGCGCCGGTGGTTCATCTTGACAGATAACTGCCTGTATTATTTTGAATACACAACAGTAAGTAAGGGCTAGCCTGCCTGCGGTACTAGAGTTACCCCTATGCTAGGGGACCCTTAGGCCAGTTACCTACAGTGAGTCCAGTTACGTACCTTTCTCTTGCAGGATAAGGAGCCCAGGGGAATCATCCCATTGGAAAATCTCAGCATCAGGGAAGTGGAAGACCCCAGGAAACCCGTAAGCTGTGTTTCACAATTTCTTTCCTTTCAACCAACTGGAACCTGTGCTCACTGGCTGCATGAGAACCTTCCCCTAGATCCTCCATGACAGTTTTTCTTCTCTTTCTCCACCAGAACTGTTTTGAGCTTTATAATCCAAGCCACAAAGGGCAGGTCATCAAAGCCTGTAAAACGGAAGCTGATGGCCGCGTGGTGGAAGGGAACCATGTTGTGTACCGGATCTCCGCCCCAAGCCCTGAGGAGAAGGAGGAATGGATGAAATCCATCAGGTGAGCGTGGGTTCTAGCACAGGAAGAGTGTGTGTACCTGCCTGGGGACACAAATGCTTTGTGTGCAGGAAATGACCTGCCTGCCTCCACAGACTCCCAGGAGGCCTGGACTGCTGGCCACCTCACAGCTCTGAGTCTGTCTTGTTCCAGGGCTGTCCAGGGGTGGTGAGAGTGGGGCTCTGTGTTCCTTGTGGCCAGTGCCATTCTCTGACCTGACCTGTTTGTTTTCCTTTTACACCAGGGCAAGTATCAGTAGGGATCCCTTCTATGACATGCTGGCCACAAGGAAACGAAGGATTGCCAATAAAAAATAGAACTTGCCTGGCTCAAGCAGGTGGAAGTAAAGACCCAACCCCCAGAGCAGAAAGTGAGTGGAGGCCTCCCTGAGATGGCATGGCCAGGAGTGGTCCCATGGGGGCTTGCAGCTTCTCCAGAATGAGTACTCATGACCCAGACTACATATCCTGAAGCCTTTTGCTGTGGTCTGGAACTGGGTCTACTTTGAGCTCCCAGGATCACTTCCTCCCTGTGACTGTGCCCGCAGTGGGAGGTGTCCAGATGTGCTCTCTGCTTTCTCAGCAGCAGCGCCTGGTGGTTTGGTCGCAAAACCTGCAGCAGACACGGGACCCATTTCTATAGGCAGGAGCCTTGTTTGAACAATGCCAAACGTGCTCACTCGCAGCAGTGTTAACTGTTATAGAAGCCACTGTTTTATATCAAAACAGGAAAGGAAAAGCTACCAGTTTTTTATTCAGAATTTTTTGTCAGATATATAGCATTATAGCTTTTATATGCCTTTTTATATTCTGAAATTATACTGAAAGATACTTTCTAACAGTAGTATTTTTAGAATGGCAGCTATAAAGTTAACTCCTGGACATAAGTATATACTGTGCACTGAAAAAAGAAAAAAAAATATATATATATATGCAGCACCCAAAGGGTAGGCGTGGGGGGGGGGCACTTGGACTTGAGTAGAAGCTGGTGCAGGGCTAGGGAGGGGCCAGGTGGTGGTGGGTGACCAGTCTGGAAAAGAAGGCACCCATGTCCTAAGGAGGCTTTGGTGTGCTTCAACTCAGACTTTTTGGCCCCACAAATACTTTTGTGTATTGGTTTGGGGATATTCATCCTGTAACTGCTGAATCCTAGGAAACTGAGCTTTTTCCCTGGACACAGATTATTCATGTGTTGAACCACACGTAACTGCTTGTATTTGACTTTTTAACAGCAGTTTCATATGGTTTGTACGAACGTGTGGTTAAGACCAGCTTTTGACCACATGCGTTGCTATTTAAAACCTTTGGCAAGATGCTTATTGACCTTATAATTTGACCAGATTTCTTAATATAATGAAACATGTAACTAGAAATAATCAGTCTTACTCCTCTTGTAGTTCATTATGTTGTCATAGATTTGATCTCCCTTATCAGGAAAGAGTGAGCCATAGGGTGCAGAGGTATAGCATGCAGGGTTTCTGTGAACAGTTAGAACCCTAAATAGACACTAGTAGTGGAACTTGGAAAGCTGCGCCCAGGAAGTGATCAGGTTACTGAGTCCTAGAGTAAAAGGTGCTCAGTACATATCTGCTGAAGGGAGGCTGGATCTGGCCCCTCATAGAGATATAACGAGGCTGGATAAGGTGCTGTATGCTCAGACTGAGACAGCTGATGGCAGATGCCACACTCTTATCGGCAGCATTATTTCCACCTCTGAGATGCCTATGTAACACACAGGACCCTCCTCGCATGCAAGGGCTTTTCCCCACAGAATTTCCTCCCTCTGCTGTCTAGCTAGGCATATATACCTTGAATGTGCAGCCTGTGGAGGTCCTTTGTACTCCAGTCAAAAATGATAATCCAGGAGACAGAACCTCAGACTGTATGTGCAATTTTCCATTCTAAATAAAACTATTCCTGTAAGTTGCCTTGGTAGGGAGATGGAGCAGCCTTGAGCCCTGCCTCCAAGTGGCTGACCCTGGTGTAGCTTTAAGTCCCACTAGATTCTAAAAGGGTCCAAGGCTGTAACTCTCCATCATGCATCAAACTGAATTTTTTTTGTTTATTCCCAAGTTTTAAGGCATTGTTAATGTACTAATACCTCAAATTTAAAACTTTAGTTTTTGAGAAAGACAAGTCAGCATTCGTGAGATGCCTGACGGGTATATATGCAACTCTGGTCTCTAGTCTTCCATGAAAACGAAACTCTGCCTGGACTCCCAGATCAAACACCAATGACCAGCCTGTTTCAGCAGTGCCCACCACACCCAGGGCCAGTCCTAGTGCCTGTTCTGGCAAACTGTCAATTGGACACAGTTTTCTCCTGGCTGTCTGACCCAGGTATAATTCTGGGGATGTGGAGCCTTCTGTCTTTTTGGGTGTCTTGTCTTTTTAAGCATGAAGGAGTTACCTAATGATGAATTTGTTTCTATGCTATGGGCATCTGTGAATAGGCTTCACCCAGGAGTGATGCAAAAGGCCATGGTGCTTAGAGTCCAGATAACATGCCATCAGAATGTTACGTGATTATCACCTAATTCCGGGTTTTGTTATGTCAGTATTAACACAAAGGGCACATAGCCATCATGCCCATTGTGAACTTGGGCACACCTGATCCAGGTACCACGTGGGGCTGGCCTCCACCAAGGCTGCCCTGAAGCAGGACAGCTATGTTGTGACCCCTTTTGTTGGGTGGGTGTGGTTTTGTTGCCTGAACCTCAGTATGATCCATCGTGTTCAGCGGCCTCCCGTCCCAATGTCTACGCATTGTGCTTGTACTATCAGTCCTAACTCTGGCCAAAGACAAACTTTCCTCCAGAGACAAAGAGCAGTGGGCAGTGAAGAGGAACCCTGGATGGAAGAGGGTAGCTTCCACAGCCCCTCCAGCCTGTCTTGTTAGGCCCTGGTTAACATCTGTGGTTTTACTGGACTAACTCTGGACCTAGACAAGCAACGTCTTCAGGGCCACAGAATGTTTGGGGTAGTTTAACGTGGCACCAAACTGGGTCAAAATAGGAGCTATTTATAGATAAAGCAGCACTTAATGCTTCATATAAAGCAATGCATATTTTAAAACTTACAGATGCGTATATCTACATAGATGTGCTTTGCTGAGAAGTTAGGTCTGTTGTAGACCAGAAACCAAGTTGTAATTCCTCATTTTCTTATTTTTTCTTAGAGAACATTTCTATTTACAATAAATGTAGTAATATGTAAATAATGTATATATTGATTTCTGGAGTGTTATTCAGTGTATATACTCCCATAACTTGCATGGAGAAATATCCTGTATCAGATATTTGGTTGTAAAGTGAACAGTAAGACTGGGTGGTATGACTCTCAAAACGCTTGCAAATACTGTGTTCACTAAATAAAAATCACATGTATTATGAAAACAAGATTGTCTGCAACTTGGTTCTTTCAAATAGAAATACTGTTGGGTCCAGCAAATTGTTTCTCTTGCTTATCAGGGGTGGGGGTGGAGGTTGGCACCAAAGGGACTGCTGCAGGGGCTCTGTTGGTTTCAGAAAAAGAGCACAGATGACATGAAGGAGTCTGGAAACAAATAGGGCAAACAGCAGTAAAAAGACACAAAGTATGTAATTTGCTGCCATTTATATACTATATAAATTTTACATGCTGAATATTTACAGTGGGGCAAGTGCTTTTTTAATCTTTAAAAAAACAAAGATCAAACTTTAGACATCTCTGAACAACACAAACTGTATAAACCATACAGATTATTCAGATACAAACTGTATTAAATACAGTTTTCCCCACTCCATCTCCTGATGCAGGACCAGTGAATTATAAGTGTATCACAGTTTGATAGCATATCCATATTAAAAATAAAATCACAGTATGATTTTGTCTGTAACTAGAAACTTTAAGGGACCAAGTTGACAACTCAGACTCCAATATCATACAGTCAAGACAAGAGACACTGTATAAAAAAGTGTTATGTAATAAAAACATACTGTAGGCTTTACAAATAATGTTTGGGTTATACATTCATAATGTAAATACTCATCATAACTGGGAAATTGATTGGAACAGTTCCACAAAGTTCAAAAACAGAACTTGTCTATAAAATACATCTTCAAATCTTGAATACAACTAAAATATGAAGCAAATTAGTTTCTAGTATCAGACATTACAGAAAACACTGCTCTCGGAAGTGTAGTTGAGAGCTTATGAATTTTTAAATAAGTCTTTAAATTAAATATACACACTGTCAGTTTGTACTTTTAACAATTCCATGGTTTCCCGGTTGGTCTTGCACCAGATGTCTAGCTTGGAGGAACATTACATGAAATACAAGTGATCAACCTGAGTCTGTAATTAAGCAGCATTTGAGATGTTCTATTCCAGGGCATTATTTTCAATGTGATTTATATATACACGGTATTTTACAATGGTCAGCAGTTGTAGAAAGTGTTCATCCATTTGGAATAAGGGTAATTAAGAAAAGGTAAAAACTAAAAAAAAAGTTCTCCATGGTAAAATCTGTACAGTATTTACTAAAGAAGCACCACGCAGATTTGAATAAGGTTATTTTGTATATTTATAATTTAAGCTGGGTTGGGGATGGCTTCTGTTGAACATGTTGAATCTGAAAGAGAAGAGGCGCAGCGTCAGTAGGCCTAGAAGCAGGAAGCTGGAGCAGAGCCCAGTGAGCCCCAGGGCAAGTCTCTCCCCCTCATATTCCCTGCCAGCTGGTCTCCAAAGTCTTTAGGGAAACTCTTCCTTGAAACGGTCACTTTGCCTTCCTGAATTGAAATAAGAGACCCTGACAACACTGGATGGATGTGCAGAGGGTGTGGCCAGCGGCTCAGCCAGAGAGGTGCCATGCCTGCCTGACTCAAACTATCTGTCTCAATCCTTTCATTCCCTCTTTCACCTGGGAAAAGTTTAGTTCCTTGTTTAGGTTTGTCTTTCCCTTGAGGATACAGCTAAAGCATGTTAATAGCAAATTAATCTTCTATAGACAATTCACTTTGAAATTAATTTAAAATCCCACTTGCTAATAAGCTGTGACAGACTGTTGGACAGAATTTCCTTTCCATGGTAAAATGGTTCACTTGCCCCTTCTCAGCAAGCATAGAGTCTGAAACATGAATTACTATCTCCCAGGACCAGCGGAGTTAAATGACTTGAAAGCAGCCTTGACACTCAAAGGTTTTGATCTACTAAGCAGCCAAGTCATTCAGATACAGCAGTCACTCCACGTGAGGAGGCTGCCTGGTCCTGTGCTCAGGGTGACTTCCAAGTCTGGGTATGTGCAGCATGAGGTGCCCCAAGCCCAGATCTCAGATCAGAGGATGCTGTGGGCAGCACAAACAGGACAGGGCAGGTGGTGGGATGGAGCCTCCTGGGCTTCTCTCCTGGGACAGGCCAATCAGAGAGGTCTGGGAGGGGAAAATGGACTTTCGTGCCATCGTCAGTTCTGATGCTTTGAGCTTTGTTGGCTTTTCTTACATGAGACTAGGAGGGGCAAACAGAATGACTCTGCCTTAGTTATGGGACATGAAATCTCCCCTAGCAAGCAAAAGAAAGGCTGGTGAGACAATTAAAGCACATATCCAGGGGTGCGGGCCCTGCTGGGCCAGGAGAACTAGCTCAGGTACACTCCAGCCCCTGGACTGCAACAGTGCCCCAGGGTCCTACATTTTCCTTCAGAATTAAAATTCTTTCATCTGGGTCCCCTCAGGGACTCCACAATTATGAAATATACAGATAGGAAAACAGCTTACCATAACTAGTGAATTTTTTATTTTGAGGCCAAGCTTTCAATCACCTAGAAAGCAAAGGTTAGGAAACAAGATTTTAATGATGGCTTTCCAAGATTTTAGGGCCTGTGCTACGTGCATTAAGTGACTACAATGAGAATTAATTCTCTCTAGTTTAATGTGTTACTGGCCTGAATTCAATCTCATATGAGGATGGGCAAGTATATACTGGCACACAGACTAGCATGTGGCATTTCTCCAAGTATTTCATAGAAAATGAGTTTATGTGATAACTGAGGGCCATGGTCCTGGTAGAAGGATACAGTGAAAGCCATGCCCTGGTAACTAGGCCACCTTCACCCATCACACTGATAATCATTTTATTTATGTATATGTTTTTGAGGTGGAGCCTCCTAATCATCCTGGGTAGAGTGCCATGGTGTCACAGCTCACAGCAACCTCAAACTTGGGCTCAAGTGATCCTCTTTCCTCAGCCTTCCAACAGGCACCTGCCACAATGCCTGGCTAGTTTTTCTGTTTTTAGTAGAGACAAGGTGTCATTACTGCTTAGGCAATCCACTCACCTCCCAGTGCTAGGCATGAGACATCATGTGAACCCTGATAAGCATTTTAACATTAAAAAAGAATAGATCTTAGAACAAAGAAATACCGAGTACCACACAATAGGGCTTGAAAGAGAAAGGTAAGTAGCCAAAGCCCAGGATAGTGGCAAGCCTAGAGGACAGTGTCCTCAGCCAGCTGAGAGGGATGCTTAGTGTGGCAAGGCCAAGCAGGTGGCCCTTCTAGGACGAAAAGATAGGCTCCTCAGTCTGTGCTTAAAGCAGAAATGCCAGCGACAAACCGAGGACAAACACAGGGGCCCCACTCAGACACAAAGCCTAACAGTAGAACCCCTAAGACACTCATCTACCAAATGGAAGACAAATACTGAGGTTTGCATTCAACCTACTTCCCCTCTAGACTAGCATCTCTGGGGGCAGAGCTGCCACCCACTGTGTCCTTAGAACAGAGACTTGTGGGGCTGCAATGGGAGATTCTGAAAAAACCTGTACAACACACAGAACAAGTCCATCTCACTAGTTCATCCTCAAGTACCAGGCAGAGGTCAGAAGGAAATCAGTCCTCACCAATCCAGTTCCCCACATAACTGAAATGTTAACATGAAACGGATTTTAGAATTTATATAATTAATTTCTTTTTTTTGAGACAGAGTCTCACTATGTCACTCTGGGTAGAGTACCATGACATCACAGCTCACAGCAACCTCAAACTTGTGGGCTTAAACAATTCTCTTTCCTCAGCTTCCCAAGTACATGGGACGACAGGTGCCTGCCACAACACCGAGCTATTTTTTTGGTTGTAGTTGTCACTGTTGTTTGGCAGGCCCGAGCTGGGTTTGAACCCACTAGCTCCAGTGTATGTGGCTGGTGCCCTAGCTGCTGAGCACAGGCGCCAAGCCAAATGTACATAACTAATTTCTTAAAAAAAAAAAAAAAAAAAAAGAGCAAATACCACTTTAGCTACCCTTTCTTGTTGGCAATGGTGATTCTTCTCATGGACCACATCAGCCACAGATTTCCTCCCAACACTTCCTGGTGCAACTGTTCTCCCCACGGAATAATTAACCTTCACATTGACACTCTGGAGACCATTTGCCCCTCAACACCACACACTGACTGTGGGCCGAGGGGACAGGCCTGCTCCCCTTCCTGAACCTCCCCCAGAACACACATCTCAGTTGAAACTACATGGTCCTCAATAAAGATGATGTGTCAAAGTCCCTGTAGTGATGTGCATGTGCTTTGTTCATAAACATGAACCTCAGGTGTCAGGACAAGGATCAATACTTTCTGTAAAAAGCCAAATAATACACACTTTCAGCTTTTCAAACCACACAGTGTGTTGCAATTACTCACCTCTCCTGAGTACCAACACCACCTTAGTCAGACAATATATGAACAAGCCTGGCTGTGCTCTCATACAAAGCTACAGACAGTAAAATTTGCATTTCATCTAATTTTCATGTGAAACAAAATGTAATTCTTTTGAGACTTTTTCCACTCATTGAAAAATATTAAAGCTGGCAGACATTGTAGGTCATGTCTATAATCTTAGCACTCTGGAAGGCTAAAGTAGGAGGATCACTTAAGAGTGAGACACCCCCCTCCCCACCTCCACCCCCTGCCATCTCTTCTAAAAGTAGAAAAAAATAATCAAGTGTGATGATGTATGCCTATAGTTCCAGCTACTTGAGAGACTGGGGCAGGAGGATTGCTTGAGCCCAGGAGTTTAGTTTGAGATTGTAGTGAGCATTATATCCATTTTAACAAGCTTGGTATTCCTTTCCAGAGTCAAAGGTCATTGGAAAAAATCAGAAAGGAGGAGAGAATAACATAAGTGCAATCAAAGAGCACAAAGGGCTACTAAATTATGGGGGAAGATACAGTTGTCCAAAAGAGACATAAGAATCCCAGACACCCATCAGTCTGGTGGGAGCCTGAGACGCATGTGGTACAGATGCCTCAAAGGCACTGCCCTAGTGGAATGGCAGCTACTATTTCTACCAGGCTAGAGCAGGAGTTAGGTTATACTCAGAATGCTACAGGCTTAAGGATTTAGGAGAATAAAGCATTATATTCCAGGAGGTTGATTCCATGGAGCTTAGGTCTTCAGCAGATGCTAAGTAAGATCAGTGCTGAACAGCCAAGCCACACAACTGAATCACACTCCATGTCAGAGTCAAGGCTGGATGAAGTGGGGTAGGAGGTCGATTCCTATTTAATTGCATACCATTTGATGCAACTGGAGGTTTTCTTTCCATATGATAATCATTTTTTAAAAAAAATTATTAAAATAGTTTCTAACTTCTTATTTCCAAGTATCTCCTCTTACCCTGGCCAAATTCTGACAGATGACACTTGTCCCTATTTTCCATCCTTAAATGTTTTGTTTTCTCACGGAAAGGTCCAACACCTTCCAGAGGCAGGCTACTGGTGAGAAGAAAATTGCCCTCGGTTCTCCGGAAACGGTCAATAGTCTCATAGCTAGCAGACTTAGGTAAGTATTGTTCTGAATCTTTAACAAAGTCCTCTGATTTTCTTGAATGTCTCTTCTTTTTCTTTTTCTTCTTTTTGTGTCTGTGGAGGTCGGCATCAGAGTAACCTACTGAAAGGTCAGAATCCTGATGCCTGCAGAAGAAAAAGTTGGAATTCAAACCACCAAGAAAATAAAACCACCTCCAACAAGCCTTGATACTTGGCTTTCATACCCGCTTACTGAGGATATTCATTGTACAAACAGTACAATTCTTACCTAATTAACAATATTTTGTTTGTTTTTACTGTAATAATTTAAGTTTGGGATCATAAATTCACCAACTTTAAGTCTCTATACTCATTCCTACCACTTGCCTTTAGCACTCTCAGGAGCTAAGGTTGTGGGCCAACCTTTTGCTAGCTTTTCCAGAAACCAGTGTCTTAGGGAAAAAAATAGTATTGTTACCATATGTCTCAGGCACACAGGAGGAAAGGAGGCTTATGGTTTCACTTCCCCAAATGCGAGATCTAACAACAATTAAGTTCATGAACTCAGCCTGTAAAAAGTGCTATATACCTAATTGCTCAATATCACTATGGTCACCACGATCGCCAAGGGGAGTACTTTAAAAGTAATTGTAGTGATAATTCAGCAATGAGGTATGCAGTATGTTTTCTAGGATTAGTTCACAAATTTAATTGGTATGACACAGCTCTGATGGCTATTCCAGACAAAGAGTACCAGAATTGCTTTGACAGGTGGAAGAGCCACTAGCATTGGTGCCTCGCTTCCTAAGGGGAGTACCTCGAAGGTACTGGGCAGGTAGGCAAATGGCAAGCACAGTGCCCTCCATTTCCTGCCTACCTCAGTCACCAAATGTGAAGAAAATATAACAGATACAAAAACACAACTACATCTGACAAGAATATTAACACCAATTTTGTCAAAGACTTATGACTTTTCATTTACAGAACACAGCACACTTAACTCCTGAAAGTGTTATAAAGCATTAACCAAAAATGACAATATCATTTTGAAAAATGAGATTTTTAGACATTTAACAATACCATGAAATTAAGATACAGCTTAAAAGCAGAGCTAATTTTTACAAATGGGTAAAAATACTGAAATCACAAAACTCACAGAGATGACAAATCAAACAAATTTAACTATGACCTTCAATCCACGAGCTCCTAAGCCAGGTAAGAAGAGACAGGCCGTGTGAGCAGACATGTGAACATGTGAGAACGTGTGTTAATGTGGTAAGGATGGCGTGAGCTCCTCCTGCCCATCACCAGGTGCCCACAGTCCCAACCTCACCTGGAATTGCGATCTCGGTGTTTGTCTTTGGATTTCTTTTTCTTCTTTGATTTTTTGTGCTTCTTAACTTTAGACTCTTCTAAGGGATCGTTCTGTAAGCTTCTCCGGGCTTTTTTTTCTATGTAACTGTCACTATTTTCTAGATTATCATATCTCCTCTTCCGTGACTTTACATTTTCATGTTCATGAAATCGATCAGAAAGGTTACAATTGTCTTCAGCTCCAAGTGCAATTTTTTCATGGGAGAACTTCTCAGGATAGAGGGGAAGGGCATGGGGTGGGCCTACTCGGGGACTGCTGAGATGGTGCCGGGGCTTATCTTTGGCAGTCACTTCGTAGCCCTTGCGGCTTCTGTAGTAGTCTTTGTGTAGCTGGCCATGGCGCTGCCCTGCTCTGTCAGGCTCCCGGCTGTTAAGGAAAGGCTTCCACTCCCGAGCCTCCCTGGCTGTATAAGGAGCGTACCTGTCATGGTAGTACCTGCACTTGTCCCATCTCATTTTATCTGGGTAGTATTTCTCCCGGCCCCAGATGTGTTCACCTTCCACATGGTGGTACCTGATCCAGTCCTGGTCAGATCCACTTCTATTTCGAGAGTGGTGGTAGCTGTATCTACTCAGAGAGTGGTGCTCACCAGGGCTGACTCTCTCACTGTGACTCAGGTGGTGCTGGCTCCCATTGCAGTATTCTGTGGTGTAGCGGTCCTGCCTGGGCCGCTCTCGGACATAGGAGCGATGTTTTTTATAGTAACGGTCGTCAGTTTTGCTCCTACTTTCCTTTGCATGCTCTCCACTGGAAGAACGATCTCTTCGATTACGATAATGTCCTCGATCAACTTTTCTGAGGCTACTGATCTTTTCCTTAATTGGAGAATGATCCTGGACATTTTGTCCCACTTTACTTTCATCACCTCTGTCCCCATGACTCTGTTCGGTGGCCCCATCTGAAGGATTTCCTATGGTCCTGTCTAGCTGAGGAGAGGGCAACCTATCTGCAGGCACACCGACAGTTTTAGAAAGGTCCTCCACATCCTTGCATCTGTCTCTACTGAGGTAAACCAGAAGCTGTTGCTCACATTCATCTTCCGAATGTACCGAGGGAACTGGGCTTAACTTTTCCACAGTTTCCACTGACACCAAGTCCCGTGGACTCTCGACTAATGCCCCTTTTACATCTTGGGAAGGTTTGCTCTGTTCATCTGTTAAATCCCCAGGATCACACAGTTTAGAAAACTGATCATCACCCACGGTATTCTTGTTGGTGTTACAAAGAATGCTCATAGTGGACAAAGACTCATCAGGTTTTGCTGAACTGTTTTCTGAGACTTCTTCTTTGGTAGAGTTGACACTAGGGTCAGGAGGTGGCAAAGCCTTCTTTAACTTGGTGCTGAGACTTGTGACCATCTCCAGCTTCTCATGGGAATCAGCAGTAGGGCCGCCAGCTTTGAGTTCCACGTCGTGATCCTTGGGAGGATTTTTCTCAATTCCAGGTGTACTGCAGGCCCCCAAAGAACAAGTAAACCAAGTGACAGTTAGGGACACATACTTTAAAACATTCATTTACTAAATATTCTACACCTTTAAACATGTCATGTTTATCATCTCTGAGAACCTCTAATTTTCTTTTCCTCATAAAACTAAAATTTTATATTAAGCCTATCCCTGTTGTATCCTGTTTCCATAAATATCTCCAGTTTTGTTTTTTTTTTTGTAGAGCTAGAGTCTCACTTTGTCACCCCCGGTAGAGTGCTGTGGCATCACACAGCTCACAGCAACCTCCAGCTCTTAGGCTTAAGCGATTCTCTTATTCTAGCCTTCCAAGTGCCTAGGACTACAGGGGCCCGCCATAATGCCTGGCTATTTTTTGTTGCAGTTTGGCCGGGGCTGGGTTCAAACCCACCACCCTCGGCATATGGGGCTGGCGTCCTACTCACTGAGCCACAGGCACTGCCCATATTTCCAGTTCTTAATAACTAAGTTTAAAACAACAAGTCAATAACTAAGTTTAAACAACAAGTCAAATGATGACAGGCCTCCTGGTGTTCCTCCCAATCCCTTTCTTTGGGTTTTCTCTTGGAGACTCAGAGACAGAAAAGCTACCTCCAAACAGAGTCAGCATCTCCCTGAATACTGATCACTGGTGAAGAATCACTGAGGCATCAGAGAAACTTTCTGTAGTAAGTTAACTCCACCCTTGATTGTTGTAGAGTTTGTGATATCTTTCCAGTTAATTAAAACTGCCAAGAAATAATTTTAAAAACCTACAGTGGCCTCCATTTCAAAGAGGGAATGACACACAGGAAGAAGTCAACACCAAGAAGCTACCTAGAGCATGCATAGGGATTCTCTAGCCAGCATGTAAGCTCCAGCCTCCAAGGCTACACGTGTTTGGGCATAGTCTATACGCAGCTTTGTTTATGCGACCATCTATGGTAATTCTCATGCACATTAAATCTGAGGACCACTACACTAGACTAGAAAAGAAACAAGAGGAAAGTCACAGCCAGGTGCAGTGGCTCACTCCTGTAATCCTAGCACTCCAGGAGGCCGAGGTGGGTGGACTGCCTGAGCTGAGGAGTTCCAGACCAGCCTGAGCAAGAACAAGACCCTGTCTCTTGAAAAAAAATAGCTGGGTGTCATGGCAGGCACCTGTAGCCCCAGCAACTCAGGAGGCTGAGGCAAGAGAATAGCTTGAGCCCAAGATTGTGAGGTTGCTGTGAGCTATGATGCCAGCCACTCAACCTCAGGGTTACTGAGTGAGGCTCTGTCTCAAAAAAAGAAAAAGAGGAAAGTCACTATGCAAGTGACTAACTTTAAGTTCTTCCGCATGTATCTTTAAGTTGAACACGGAATAAATGTGCTTTGCCTACAGGATGACTCCATTCCATGTTAATAATTAAGCCTACCGGCCAGCACAATACCTCATACCTATAATCCTAGCACTTTGGGAGGCCAAGACAGATGGACTGTTCGAGCTCGGGAGTTTAAGACCAGCCTGAAAAAGAGTGAGAACCCCTCTCTACTAAAAATAGAAAAAACAAGCCAGGTATTGTGGCAGGCGCCTGTAGTCCCAGCTCCTCAGGAAGCTGAGACAAGAGGATTACTTGAGTCCAGTTGTTTAAGGTTGCTATAAGCTATGACACCACAGCCCTTTTTTGGAGACAGAGTGAGACTTTGTCTCCAAAAAAAAAAAAAAATTAAGCCTACCTAACAGAGGTTCTCAGGGTGGGTATTCCATCTGCCATGGGGCTGTTAGTGATAAGGGGACCCACCCCATTAGAGGTAGGACATGGCCAGCAGTCCCACATGTAAGGGAATGTCCTCATGATCCCACCAGTTCTGACTGCCATGGGAGTGAAAACCCTAGGTTTATTATTAGCACAGTTTCCACAGTAAATTTACCAGGAAAACAACTACTGTGTAAATCTAGAGATGGTGGTACTTGATTTGGTCAGAATATCACCAAAAGCTGTTCACCATGAGAATATGACACCCCTGATAGTACTGATCATGCCAACATCTGGCCACATTCTAAAGTGTCCTGCTCACAGCCTACATGTACACAGATGCAAGCACCAGGTTGTGTTACTGTATTCTACAGAACAGTCTTGCCTGGTTTTTTACATAGCAAAACAGCTATCATTGCATTATAAATTCCTTTCTTTTTATTCCTGAGTAACATTATAGTTAGGTCAATGTACTGATTTAAAAAAAAAAAACAAAACTGGAAGCAGGGTGGTGCCTGTGGCTCAGTGAGTAGGGCACTGGCTGGCCCCATATACCGAGGGTGGCGGGTTCAAACCTGGCCCTGGCTAAACTGCAACAAAACAATAGCCAGGCATTAGGGCAGGTGCCGATAGTCCCAGCTACTCAGGAGGCTGAGGCAAGAGAATCACCTAAGCCCAAGAGTTGGAGGTTGCTATGAGCTGTGACGCCATTGCACTCTACTGAGGGTGACAAAGTGATACTCTGTCTCTAAAAAAAAAAAAAAACTGGAAGCAGGTTACGTTACCTGTAAATTTAATTTCAGAATTCTTTGTAATTCTAAAAGTAGAGCCATGCATCACATAAAGACCCATCAGTCAACAATAGACTGCACATATGATGGTGGTCCTATAAGATGATAAAGGAGCTGAATAGTTCCTATCACCTAGCAACCTCATAGGCATTGTGACATTGTATTGTAAGGCATTAATCACCTGTCTATGGTGATGCTGTGTAAACAAAAATACTACATTGCCAGGTGAAAAGTCTAGTACACACAATTACGTCCAGTGCATAATACCATGTTTCCCTGAAAATAAGACACTGTCTTATATTTATTTTTTCTCAAGAAGACACACTAGGGCTTATTTTCAGGGGACATTTTCCTGAAACACGGTACTTGATAATAAATAATTGCTTATCGATTTATTTACTATACTATACTTTTTATCTTTTTTTCTTTTAATTTTGCTTGCATTTTCCTTTTTTTTTTTTTTATGGAGACAGAGTCTCACTTTGTGGCCCTCAATAGAGTACCATGGACTCATAGCTCACAGCACCTCCACCAACCCTTAGGTCCTTGGGTTTAAGTGATTCTCTAGCCTCAGCCTCCCAAGTAGCTGGTATTAGAACACCCGGCAATTTTTGGTAGAGACGGGGTCTCACTCTGGCTCATGCTGGTCTCGAACCTTTGAGCTCAGGGCAATCCACCTGCCTCGGCCTCCCAGGGTGCTAGGATTATAAGCATAAGCCACGCTTGGCTCATACTTTTTATTTTATTTATTTTTTTTTTATTAAATGATAGGTATTCCAGAAGAAGCCATTGTTATTGTCCCCGAACACCTTCAAGTAAGATGTGGGCATGGAAGACAGCAATATTAATGATCCTGACCTGTATAGGCCTAATCTAATGTGTGTGGGCACCTGTAGTCCCAACTACTTGGGAGGCTGAAATAAGAGAATCCCTTAAGCCAAAGAAGAGTTTGAGGTTGCTGTGACCTGTGCAACAAAGTGAGACTGTCTCAAAAACAAACAAACAAAAAGCTTATAAAATAAAAATATAAGGTATTTTTGTATAGCTATACAAAGTATTTGTTTTAAACTAAGTGTTATCCTAAGTCAAATTTTTTTTTAAAAATTAAGTTTATAAAGCAAAGAGTTATAGTAAGCTAAAGTTAATTAATTAATTAATT